GATCCTGTCTGTTAGACCCAGTAAATCTCCAAGTGGAAAATCATTTTTCTAATAAAACTACACTTAGAAAAAAAAAACCACGATGTTAATGCTTGTAGACTCAGCCCTCATTAGGACATCAGCCTCCCAGCCAAACTATTTTGCGTGTTATAAAGAGCTGTTTTTATGATGAATGGGGATTCTATTGACACTTTAATTGAGTCAGAAACCAAGGTACATGAATGTTAGTGCACAAGAAATGCAATAAAAAAAAGCCATTCCCATATGGTTGACATATATCAGATTAATTTAATGCCGCTGTTAAGCTCTTCAAGTCCTTACCTTTAAATGGGCTTTATTGAATTGTTAGGTGCAGAATTTCTAGCCATAGAGACTCACATACGTTTCCCCTCCCCCCTCAAAAATCTGTTTCTTTGCTTTAAATTAGGCTCCCACCACTTTTTTTTTTTTAACAGTCCAATACATGATAAAGTTCTATTTCAAATTCATGATCAAATTTCTTTTTCTAATTTTTTTTTCTGGGACTGGAACTTTTGCCGTCTTGCTTTCAAAGAAGGTAATCTAAGTGATTGGCATATATTTGGGTAAAATTAAGTCAATATTTTTAAGGCACTTTCCACCGGTAGGCTTCTTGACTGACATAGTGGTTCCAGGGCAGCTCAAACTTAATTATTAATTTTCTTCTGTTCCATTTAGAATTTGCCCATCATTCAAAACAAAAGAACACAAAACTCTTCAATTCAAATGCCTTGCAAAGCAGTACTTGGGTTTGCTTGATTTAGTATTCAGCAAATGAAAGAGAGTTCACGTAAGGCTTCTGGTCTCCTTAAGATCAAATCTCCATTTTGGTGAAGGAATGTGGTGTTTAAATTATTTAGTCAAATTGGAGGCCTTGAGATGAGTCAAACTCTCTCTAGGCTTTCTGAAAATGAGATATTCCGTAGTATTTTGTCCTTTGTTAATTTAAAAAAAATGATGGCAGCATAAAAATGAATGCATAGGGCGTACGTAGCTTTGAAAAACATGATTGGGATGAGGGGTTTGAGAAAATTAATTTGCCCGAATTGTGTTGTGCTTCCCACCCTGTGCTACAATTTCAGCATTGTGAAGTGTGCATTAAATCGTTCCCATCAATTACGCTCAGCTGTGAATGGGTCTGAGGGTTCCTTTTGTTATAAATTACTATTTCCTCAAATGCTTTTTGCAGAGGAGCAATGAAACACGTTGGCACTTGGAATGCTCCAAGAACCATTCTTGCCCGTGGTTGATCTTGAGCCAGCTCCGATGTTTCTGAGAACTCGTAAAGCCAAGTTGGGGATGGCCGTTTTTGCTGTGGGCTCTGTTTTCTGTTTCCGCTGAAATTCTCCTTCGGTTTTCAATGCCTGTTGGCCACATTACGGAGCTGTAACCACTTTTTGCATAAGAACTCCCTTGATGCTGCTAGGATGGAGCCTGCAACATTTACATTAAAAATTGCTATTATGTTTACAGCTGTGAGCAAATCCCAGCTGCCTCAGGTGCAGCCACGTGGCCAAGGGAAGGGGGACCAGACATGGCTATCCCTAGAGTGTGAAAGGAGCCAGAGGACTCTGAAACACTTGCAGGTGCACAGTGAATTTGTGGAGCTTCTGTTGGCTGCGACTGGTTATCAGGCAAGGCATGCTGCTCAAAGTGCCCAGTTTGGGCCAGAAGTTTTCTGAATTGTTCAAGAGAAGGAGTCTTTGAAGATGGTATCATAAGAGCTGTGGTATTTTTCTGTGATTTCCCATGATGGCTGGGATGTGGTAGTAAAATCCAATTCTGCAGGAGTGGCTGCTTGCAATGTCGGCATATTATTCAGGTCCTGGCTGTGCCACTTCTGATCCAACTCCCTGCTATTATGATTGGGAAAGCAGAAGATGGCCCAACTGCTTGGGCCCCTGCCATCCACTTGGGACAACTGATGGAACTCCTGGCTCCTGACTTTGGTCTTGTTCAGCTCTGGCCATTGTGGCCATTTGGGAAAGTATGGATCAGATTGCTACTGACATCTCTCTCGTGCGCTCGCTGTCTCTGCCTGCCTCTCTTTAAAATATTTATTTATTTATTTGAAAAGCAGAGTCACACAGAGAAAGAAATAGAAGTCTTCCATCAGCTTGTTCATTTTCCCAAATGACTGCCAGAGTTGGTGCCTGGCCAGACCAAAGCCAGGAGCCAAGAACTTCTTCCAGGTTTCCCACGTGAGTGCAGGGGCCCAAGCACGTCTGCTCGTTTTCCCAGTCACATTAGCAGGGAGCCGGATCAAAAGTGAGGCAGCTCAGTCTCTAATTGGCAGCCCTATGGGATGCAGGCACCGCAGGCAGCAGCTTTACTGGCTGCAACACAGCGCCGATCTCCACTCTACTCAGATAAACCAACAAACAAATTAATATTTGGGGGAGAGGGACAAAAGCTTCAGGAGGCTGTTCTTTTCCTTTGCATTACTCTAGTTTTTCTTTTCCTGAAATGATTAAATTTATTATAATTTTTTGTTGGAAAGTCAGATATACAGAGAGGAGGAGAGACAGAGAGGAAGATCTCCGTCCGTTGATTCACTCCCCAAGTGGCAGCAACAGCTGGAGTCAATCCGACGCCAGAAGGCAGGAGCCTCTTACAGGTCTCCAATGCAGGTGCATGGTCCCAAGCTTTGGGCTATGCTTTGGGCCTGCTTTCCCAGGCCACAGGCAGGGAGTTGGATGAGAAGCGGGGCTGCTGGCATTAGAACTGGCACCCATATGGAATCCCAGTGCGTGCAGAGGACTTTAGCTGCCAGGCTGTCGCGCCGGGCCCTCTAGTTTTTATTTCTGTCGTTTCTGGATGTCTCACTTAGCCTGAATGTTGTGCTTTAAAAAATATCCAGGGCTGGATGTTTGGCCAGAGCCCTGTGGGCATATAAGCATCAGATGTACAACAACTTTGCGTTGTAATTGCTGTGGAGCTATAAGTACACCCACCTCGTCCTCCGACACACAGGCAGGAGGCTCTTGCCAGCCAGTTCACAGGGTGGCCAGCACCACTTTGCTTCAGCTCTTCCCAGCTTCCAGCCAGAAAAAGGGGCCAACTTTATGTGAATAGGCAACACAGTTTGTAGCGCCACCCGCTCCAGAGGGCTTTGCAGTTTGGCTCCACCAGGCTCACCTCTGGAAGTTGCAGAAGGGGCCGCCTCCTGGGGAAAACTGGGGGAGGAAGATTTCAGAATGGCTGTTACATTTGCACTTGGAGGAAGGGCTCATTTAGGACCCAGCCGCCTGGTGGGAGATGCGTGGGGCCTACAGATGGAGCTGAGTTCATTAGTTCTGACCGGCCTTACTGGATAGTCTGGCAGCTGGGGGTCCTCTGTGGTATCCCAGGGCACTGCCTGGCAGGAGGAAGCCCCTTGTCCAGGCTGCACGGGGAAGAGGGCAGGGTGGGCAGTGAGGACAGGGGGAGCGACAATTTGAGGTTGACTTGGGCTTGGAAAGGGAAAAAAAATAGTGTAAAATTAAACAGGTCTGCAAACAGCTGGGTGCCTTTTGCTTGCCCGAAGGTTTCCTCGGCCACCTGTCCTTCCTGTACTTTATTATCCTCTCCTCAGTGGCTGGGGAAGGAACCTTTCAGCACAGGAAAGACTTCCCAGGGTGGGGAATCTGTATACTTCCACTAGTCCCGGGAAAAGCCCTTCATCTCAGCCCGGTGCTGGGAGAGCTGGGCTTTCTGCAGGACTCAGAGATCCTACCACCAGATGTCTCTGCAGCCCACTGCACAGGAAGGCGAACACACACACACACACACACAGCCCGCTGCACAGGAAAGTGAACACACACACACAGCCCACTGCGAAAGAACGTGCACACACACAGCCCACTGCACAGGAAGGCGAACACACACACACACACACACACACACACACACACACACACCCCCCGCTGCACAGGAAAGTGAACACACACACACACAGCCCACTGCGCAGGAACGTGCACACACACACACAGCCCACTGCACAGGAATGTGAACACACACAGCCCGCTGCACAGGAATGTGAACACACACACACACAGCCCACTGCACAGGAAGGCGAACACACACACACACACACACACACACACACACACACACACACAGCCCACTGCACAGGAAAGTGAACACACACACACACAGCCCACTGCGAAAGAACGTGCACACACACACACAGCCCACTGCACAGGAATGTGAACACACACACACATACAGCCCGCTGCACAGGAATGTGAACACACACGGGCTGGAACCCCAGCTCGGCAGTCACTTGGGGTGCAGCCCCTAACCCCGCCGAGTGCATAGTGCCTGTGTAGTTCATGTGGAACTCCCCTAACTCCTTGGCTGCTTACCTGTTTCTCTTGAGCCAGGGCAGGTGACTTGAACCCCCGCTACCCTCCCATGTGAGATTAGTTGGATCCAGTATCTGCTGATCTGGCCCACAGAGACTTGGTCCGGCACTCCCTTCCTTATTCCTGGTGGAGCGGGAACCCCTGTTGCCTCCTGCAGTGTGAGCGTGGCTGGGCCAATGCGCAACTTTGCAAAGTCAAAGGGGTGCCTTATGCAGAGGTCTGACTCATTGGCTGATCTGAGTCTAGTGGAGCAGACTGGCCATGACCTTAACAGACTTAGGAACTTTTTCAGATAGCAGACTGGGGTTCAACATGAAAAATCAGTCAAGGGGTCAGCTAGAATCTTTAATACAGTTGTAACAAAGTCTCAGCCAGAGGTACTGACCCACAACACAACCCCATTGTCAGCAGCATCCGTAGGGAGAGAGTGGAAGACTTTGAATAGTCCTGGTCTTACACCCCAGGGAACAGAGAGCCCTGCTGGTCTGTGGTAGGTTCTTTCCTCTCCTTCAACAGCCCCCATAGCTTGTTCCAGAAGCGTGGGTCTAGGTATGGTTTTGCAAGGTGATGTAACACCTGCACTTGTCAAGGGCCTGGCAGTGGAACGTGATGCATTTTCTGGTTGCTTCTTCACAGCTCAAGGAGGGCAATGAGCAGAGAGTCGAGGCAGTCCAGGCAGATCCGCACCTCGGAGAACAGCACGCCCACCAGGAAGGACACAACGGCTCTTTGGAGGTCCCCTGGACAAGACCTTACTCCCTGAAGATCCGAAACGCTACGGGCTGCAGCGCTGGGATGTACAGGTGCACCCTGCAGGAGCTCCCAGGACTGAGGAACCTCAGTGGCATCATGCTCCTGAAAGTGACAGGTGAGGCGACCCCAGTGTTTTCTGCTGGCACTTTCTGCAGGGCCTCCAATCAGACCTTCAGTTTGGGGTCGCGCTCAGTGGCTTTGGACCCCATCTGGGCTAAATTCTGCTATAAAAAAATGGTGTCACTTTTTCTTTGCATGGCTTACCCTGTGCCTTTCATTTGACTTTTGTCTTGGAGTCCTTCTTTTTGTGTGGTGGTCGCTTTGTCCTTCTGTCTGCTCACCGAAAGACTCAGCACAGGACTGTTTAAAGGGTCTGTGTTGCTGTTTTGCTGTTACTTCTATCAGAGTTGAGCAAGCCATGTCTGCAGCTCCTATTCTTCAGAGTCAACCAGGAGGGGATGGAAAAGGTTTAAGAAAAATTGTATCTGAAAATGAAAACACACAGACGTTTTTTCTTGCTATTTCCCCCGAAATGATAACAACCATTGACATACCCTCTACGCTGTGTGCAGTATTATAGGTAGTCTTACTGTAACATAAAGTTTGCGGGATGGAGAGGTAGTGATGCCATGGTGGAGATGCTGCTTCGGACACCTGTATCCGTATTGGAGTGCTCGAGTTTGAGTCCAGGCTGCTTGTGAATGCAAGTCAGCAAGGGATAGTTCAAGGACATGGGTCCTTACGACCCGCATGGGAGACCATGTTGAGTTCCTGTCCCCTGGCTTGGGTCCGGCCTACCTCCAGCTGTTAGGACAATTTGAGGAATGAACCAACTGACAGAGATCTCTCTCTGCCTCAGTCTCTCTCTGCCTTTCAGACAAATGAAAATTAAGTTTTTCATTTTGAAAAGCATACAGGAGAAATGTGTACCAGCTATAGGCAAATACTACTGCATTTTAAGTGGAGTGGTTTCCAGGAACTAATCCCTCATGACTAATGAGTGTGTATGCAACCACATACACACACACACACACACACACACACACACACACACCCTGCTGTCTCCTGCCCTTTCTCTGGGTCTGTTTATCTTTATGGCTGTCATCACACCCAGCCTGCTGTGTGCAGATTGCCTGCTCTGCTTCTCCCAGAAAAGTGACTTCTGCCAAACCCTGGCACACAGTAGGCCTTCAGTGACTGCCACTTGAGTGAAGAAGAGATGAGAGTGACCTCTTTTGACTGAGCAGAGAGTGGAGCAGAGAGGCGACGAGCAGAGCCTGGCATTCTTCTCTGCTTTTCCTCTCCAAGGTCACGTTCTGGAAGAGGTGCTTAGATCCAGTCCAGAGAAGAACTCTGCCCCTGTGTACTTGTTGTACTTGTTGACAGGTGACCTAGGGAATATCACCAATGGTCTCTAGGCCTCCACGTTCCCATCTCTAGAACGGGGATAGTAACATCTCCCAGGCAGGCTTTTTTTTTTTTTTTAAAGATTTATTTATTTATTGGAAAGTCAGATATACAGAGAGGAGGAGAGACAGAGAGGAAGATCTTGCATCCCCAAGTGAGCGCAACGGCCGATGCTATGCCGATCCGAAGCCAGGATCCAGGAACTTCTTCCAGGTCTCCCACACGGGTGCAGGGTCCCAAAGCTTTGGGCCATCCGTGACTGCTTTCCCAGGCCACAAGCAGGGAGCTGGATGGGAAGTGGAGCTGCCGGGATTAGAACCGGCACCCATATGGGATCCCGAGGCGTTCAAGGCGAGGACTTTAGCCGCTAGGCCACACCGCCGGGCACACAGACTTGTTAAGTAAAATAACCTGCTGAGCACGATGCACAGCACGGACCCCATGCCCTGTCGGCATAGCAGTCACCAACCTCTCCCGTGAGAATCTGCCCTAGATGAGCCCATGCAATTTTGAATCCAATTTCAAATCCATTGGCCCCAGGGGAGGGCCTCCCTGTGGTTGTCTACTCCACCTGCTACTGAGTGGACCTTTCAGCCAAATCGCTTAGCTCTTTTTTTTTTTTTTTTCTTCTGATGGCACCAGAAGTGGAGGCTAAATAGGCAGACCAGGCTCTGTCACTCCCAGACTCCTTCGTCCTTAGCCTGCCTGAGCCTCGGCTGATTCATCCACACAATGGGACCATCCATGCCTGCCCTGAAGACTCAGGGAGATGTTGTCCGGACATGCCTGTCACCCATAGCCAGACAAACAGAAGCGTAGAGCCTGTTAGGCTGGGCTCTTCTCGCAGTGCAGGGAGGGGGCCGTTGTGGGGTGGGGGAAAGCAGGAATGTGGATTGGAAGCGCTTGATGATGGCAGGAAGCTCCTGGACAAGTGGCCTCATCTGTTCCTTATTTTTCAGGCTGCCCCACCAGACGCAAGGAAGTCGATTTCCAGAAGTATCGAGCCGAGCTTGTGCTACTGCTGGCCCTGGTCATGTTCTACTTAACACTCATCATTTTCACTTGTGTAAGTGTTCAAGTGTCTATTCCCGCTGTAGATCACCTGGGGGCGCCGGTGTGCATATGTCTTGCAGGGAGTGTCAATTCTTCAATAGGAGATAATTCTTTGAGCTCTGGACTAATGGAGCACCCCCACCTCCACCTGAAATAGTTGCAACTGGTTTCTTTCCCAGGAGCCACACATAGAGCCTGCCCCAAAGACGGAAAAGTAGGATGGGTGAAGGGACTCTGAGAAATGCCAAAGTGTCCTCCGGGAGACCAGAGACCTTGTAGCTATGGGGTTGGGTCCCAAAATGGACCTCTGCCATGCCAGGGCAGCATCCTCAGGTTTCCTGGGATGGGTCCTTTTTCTTTGCTTGCCTGAGAATGTTTACTTCCCGGGGCTTCTTTCCTGGACCCACTGCCTCCTTACAGTCCACCCTGAGAAGCCAGAGCCCTGGGGCTCACAGGGGTGAGGGGTGGAGAGCTCTGGGGTGGAGGTTGACAGGTGCCTAGCTGGCATCTCAGAGGTGACCTTTAGCTGTTGGTCACAGGTTCCAGCTTTGGAACCTCAAGCCTCTTTGGGTGGGCTATAATCTTGGGAGAATCTGACCACAGCCAACCCATGAGGATCCCCTTCCCAAAGTGGGCTCCATCCACTATGAAGTGATCCAGCCTCATGTCACAGCATCCCTGGGCAGCGCCGGCTACAGGACCAATGCTGACGCCACCCAGGAGCTCCCCCAAGGTTGTTCTGGCTCTTGGTGATGCTCCACTACCCACCTTTCCTGCCTTTCTGTTGAGGCATGCATCTGTGATTCGTATTTTAGACAGCAGTCAATTAAGACACATCATCTTCTAGCCCATAACTGTGTATAATGATTGTAACTAAAAATATGTTCGTTTTGAAATGTTTTGATCATTGAATCAATCTTATTTATTTGAAAGACAGAGAGATGAAGAGACAAGGAGAGAGATTTCTCTCTGCAGCAGCCAGGACTGGGTGAGGTGGGAGCCAGGCTCACAGACCCCAATCCAGGTCTCCCATGTGGGTGGCAGGGATGCCAGTCCGTGCCATTGCTGCCCTCACTGCTGCCTCTCAGGGTGTGCATTAGTGGAATTGGAAGTGGAGCTGGGAGGATGCAAGTGTCCCAAGTAGAACTTAACCATGGCTCCAAATGGCAGTCTCCAGCATTATGTCTGTCTCACACACACACACACACACACACACACACACACACACACACAGACACACGTACTAATCTCTCGTCATTAGACAAAGATGGGAAATTATGCTTTCACGGTATCCATGATCTTGCACCAAATTATTAAATATGATTCTTCTAGATCCTTTGCATTTCTAAAAGATTAATCTGCCAGTTATTCTCAAGAAGAACTTTTAAAATGAAAAGCTAGAACATGCTCATAGAAGAATACTGAGGACTCCTGTGAACCTCTGTTCATTACAGGACATTAAGCTGAGCACTATAGGGGCAGAGAAAGGTGTAAGCCATTGGTGTTGCCCCATCAGGAGCTTCTAGTGTTTTAGTGCTATTTGCATATGAAAACAATCCACCTTAGTTTTGTGTTGGAAAACACCTACTTCTGTGGTTCTTGACTTTGCCTAGAAGTCTCCGAGGGAAGGGGCTTGAAGTGCAGCCGTCTGCAAAACAGCAAGTCTTCTGGTCCTAGGTTGCAGACATCCGTGACAGAGCGCCTGCTCCGCTGTGCACCAGCTCTTAGGGAATGGGGCTGCTGTCATATCACGGGTTAAGAAGTTGCTTATGAAGCTGTGCTATATCGAGTTCTGAGCTGCTCAGCTTTCAGTCCGACTCCTTTGCCAACGCACCAGGGAGGCAGCAGTGATGGCCCGAGTGCTTGGGCCCCTGCCACCCATGTTCAGGACCCAGATGGAGTTGCTGTCTCTCAGCTTTGGCCTGGCCCAGCCTCAGACCTTCCTGCCATTTAAGGCATGATGTAGAAAAATGCTGCATTTTCCCATTATTCACTTCTCAACTTCTCTCTCTCTCTTTTCTAGAAATTTGCACGGCTACAGAGCATTTTTCCGGACTTCTCGAAGCCTGGTGTGGAACCAGCCTTTCTTCTAGTCACCTCCCCCAGTAAGTCTCAAGGGCCAGTGACTCTTCAGAAAACGGAAGTCGTGTGAGCAAGAATTCTGCCAAGTGATACTCTGACATCGAGGGCTCTGAGGATCGCCCATCTGCCACTCTAAACCGAGAGAGAAGAAGGATTCTGCCCTGAAGATGCCATCTTTCCTGGGAAGTCTTCCACACCTGACAGCATCTGAATGTGGATCTTAGTCCACTTCCTGCCTGCAGAGCCATGAACACATCCCATGACCACGTAGCATGGGGCCATCACAGCCTCTCCATGGCAACTGTCCTGGCATTTCATGCAATTGTCTGGTCCACCTCTTGGGACATAATTTTCCAGCATATGAAAGCTTTGGTGGGATGTTTGCAAAGGGCTCTTGGGAGCAGTGGAAGCCCAGAGCTGTCCCTGGGATACCCTCCTGGGGACAGCCATCCTTGTCCGCATTTGGCAAACATCTCTGTGGGTTTGCTGTGCTTTGTTGCACCAGCCCAGATGTTTTACATTGAGAGAAACTCACAGTCCAAGCCACATCAGAGTGGGAAAGATAGAGCAAAACGCCTCCTGGCCCGAAGAGAGCGGTAGCATGTGTGTGTGGGCACAGAAGGTGGACAGATGCTTCTCCAACAGTCATGAAAAAGTGGTAAAGAAGAACGCCACGTCTGTTTTTGGAGCTGCACACGCTTGACATAGAAGGGCTCATTTCCTTCCCCTTTCGAAATCTGCGCAGTTTCAGGGCTTTGCTCACTGAGCCACACCTGTTGATGGAGAATGAGAAGTCAGAAGTGGTGACCATGGGATAGAGCAATGGAGTGACGTGCCGGAAGTGCTGGTCCGATTACACCTTCTGGGTTTCAATTCCAGTTATCCCATTCCCTAACTGCATAATCTTGGGCAAGTTCCATCTGGCGTTTTGCTTTCTCAGTGGTTAACCAAAAGGCTCTTGCATGGAGTGGTTCAAATGATGTGAAAATGTTTTTGAAAACATATGAAACTTTGTTTAGAATCAGAGCTCTCCCGGGGGTTGTCATCCCTGCTGAGACGTGCTGGCCTGGTGTTACACTCGTTTACATGCATTCCAAAGAAGGCGACACGGACGTCACTTGCATAGTCTTCTGTATGAGTTCCTTTGGGAAGTGGGGGAGCCAGCTTGTTGATCTGATCCTGAAATCCAGAATACTCCACAATGTGGACATGCAGGCACCCTGCCCATGGACAGAAGGGAGTTTGAGAAATGTTGCATGGGTATTGGCAGCTGTTGAATTTCTCTCATCTGTTGTGACCCTCTCTACACTTGTTTTTCAAAGAGATCCTTGAACCCTTCAGTAGTGTGCGGATCACCTACACTAATGTTAAAGTAAGAAGGGGGACACTGAGTGGATTCAGTGCTTTTACCTCTTGGTTGCTGCTTTTGTGTTATTAAAAGTGTGAATGTGAACAGGGAGTCTTTGTCTTTTTATCTTTTCAAGACGACTCACAAGGCTCCGGGATGAGTGACAAACTAGTTGGGGAACCAGAATCCAAAGATGAGATTGAGCGAGTTCTTCCTGTGGGAGGAGGGCCATGCGTGGCGGGTGGACCTCCAGAGATGCTGCTGAAACCTGGTTGGTACTGGGTTGCACCTTAGTGCATGGCCAAGTTCACGTGAATGCCCATAGGTGCCCATGGATGGAGCGAGGACTGCTGCTTTGAAACAGTCAGAGGCTGTGTACCTGACCTTCATGGGCTCTCTCAAGATTCCCAGAAAGGTTCCCTGCCCCTCAAACATTACTACCCCTGTGAAGTACCAAGTGGTTGTCGTAATTTTGAAGACATTGTAAGTCAGTGGCTGTTTATGAAGAAGAATGTTCCTGAAATCTGGAGTCTCAGATCTGGAACTCCAGTTGCTATGAAATCTGTCACCCACTCAAACACTTCGTCCAATGTGCTGGGATGACTGTGTAGCTTGGGGCTCAGTGGGGAGGTCCTGATCACCTGTTTGGTGCTTTGGAATTTGGACCATTTGGGGCAGAGTCTTAGCTCTCTAAGCCCATTTGGTGGATCTTCAAAATAAGAGTAAATGAATGGTAATCACAGGATCTGCCTCACAGTTCTATTGTGAGGGTTAAACGAGATGATACACTAAGTGACTGAGCCCAATATCTACCAAGTAGTGCCCAGTTGAGAGAAAAACAAGAAAGGCAGAGAAGGAGACGGAGAAAGTGTCACAGACCATGACACAAAGCCATTTTGTTAAAAGGAACACGTTGGCTTGGGGGAGAGGTCACGTTGCTTTAGGATGATTGGTACAGAGCGGTGAGCAGACTGCTCTGTGGCTGCTTCAATTACAGTGACACTGAGGAGGGTCGCCATGCATCAGCATGGATTGACAAACCAGAAACATGGTGGAAAACCGAAACTCAGCATGTCACAATGGAAAGTCAGACTCAGCATTTCACACCTAGTCTTTGATAAAATAAAAGGGGGGTATAGGGAGTAGGAAGGAAAGGGCTGGGAACAAGTGGGTGATTGAAGGATGGAGGGCAGTCCATGACAGTTTGTGAGCTATTATTTTGTGCCCTTGAGTGATGCTGATCATGGTATTTCAGAGGAGGGAGGCAACTGTGACCACTGTGTCTTCATTGTCCTCACTGCCAGGGGAAGCCTTGTGGTTGTTACAATTGTCCCTTGGGCATCAGGACACCAGCCTGTGGTCTTAGTCAGAATCACACCCAGCAAGTTTCGTCACAAGGACCCAGCCTGATCATTTGCTGGGACTGTGGGATGGAAGAGACCACAGCAGCCTGTAGACACACAGGAAGCCACATGGGGCTGAGCCATGGACCC